AAATCACCAACACAGGTCAGAGAATCAACAGTTAAAACACATGAAGAATATAAAGCACACACAGAAGAAAATGTTCATACATGTTGTAGAATGCTAAAGTGTCCTGATCATCACCAATCCTTTCTGTTGGACACTAACTGTCCAACAAGACCCTCCTGCATCGACAAGGAAAAACTCTTAAAAAACCCAGTGGGAAAACGTGAGAAACCTTGGGGAGCACTAGGGAAACCCACAGGGAGGGAGACCCATATGAGAAAGGGATCCGCTCCTCCGGACGGACAGGCTAATGATCTAGGACCTAAGCTAGCTACAGAACGTGGACCAGTGGCCGCTGAACGTGGACAGGTCCGGTGCAGGACCGAAGCACTCCCAGGCGGGTCGGGCGGGGCAGTCCGCAGGTGTAGATGGAAGAGGCCAGGCTCAGAGATCCCGTCATCGTACCATGAAACAGACAATGGGACAACGGGTGAATAGCAATGAACAAACTACAGTCAGAATCCTAAAAATGCTAAACAGATAAAGTAAAGTAAAAAATAAAAAAATAAACATATGTAAACCTATATACATACATACAGGTGACAATGAGAATACATACATATCACACTTGAAGATTTAGACATATATTCACAAAAAAAATAAATAAATAAATAAATAAATAAATATATATATATATATATAATATAATAATAAGAAAAAAAAAAATATATATATATATATATATATATATATAAGATAAAAATAAATAAATAAATAATAATAGTCCTTAACAGGAGTTACATTTATAAATCAGTAAGAATAACATAGTATAACACAGTGACAGCTCTGTCACACTCTACAGTGTACTATTGTGTAATATAATTAAGATATTTTCCCCATTTTGCTAGGTATACTTCCTGCCTATAATTTTTCTTATAGAAAAGGATTTTTGTTAGCCTTTTTCCACTCCCTTAAGACTACCTGTCTACCTATCATTACTGCTGTTTGAATGAACTGTGCATTATTACATTGTTCTACAACAGCCGGGTCCCCCAACACATAAAGTCGGGGAGAAAACTCAAAGAAGTCACCTGTGATCTCTTGAATGAACTGGTGGACAGTATTCCAGTACTCTACAATTTTGGGGCATTGCCACAGTGCATGATATAGGGTACCGTCTGAGCTTTGACACTTCCAACAGTTTGGTGTGCTTTTAAGACCTAATTTATGTAATCTGATTGGTGTCCAGTAGAAACGGTTAATAATCTTAAATTGTATTAGTTTAATTCTTACGTCTCTGGACAATAGTTTGAAATTTTTGCAAATTCGTTGCCATTCCAAAGTAGTGAAACAAATCTTCAAATCTTTTTCCCATATACTTTTCAATATAGTTGGTAAGTTACAGTTATGTCGTATGATATTAGAGTACAGCTTAGATACTGCATTGTTTGATAGAGACAATTTATATATGTCATCAAGAAGAGTTGATCTAGGTAAAATTGTGAATGAAGGGCCAAACACAGATTTTAACATGTCTCTGAGCTGCAAATATTGCCAGAAGTTATTTTGTTCAAGATCGAATTCTTTTTTTATTTTTTCAAAAGGTTTTAGAATGCTATTGTCATAAAGATCGTCTAGAGTTTTGACTCCGCTATTCAACCAATTTCTCCACAAGAATGACTCTTTACCAATGCGTAACTTAGGATTTGACCAGATACTTGCATCCGTATTGAGAAAGATTTCAACTTTAAATATTTTGTTTACACTTTTCCATATATTTTGCAGGTGAGTAAAGACTGGGTGACTTTTCAGCTTCGGAGTCAGGCGAGTAGTCAAACATGTTAATGGAGTGTAAGGTAAACATGCCTCCTTCTCCATTTGAAGCCATGGTGGAGCTCTTTCTGGTGGCAGATACCATTTTGTTAGGTGTTGCAGGTTAAAAGCATAATAATAGTACAGCAGTTTAGGTAATCCCAATCCCGCACAATCCACTGGCACTTGCAATTTTTCAAGTCGTAGTCGTGGCCGTTTAGTTCCCCATAGGAATCTTGAACACATCTTGTCAAAGTTTTTAAAATATTTCATTGGAATTTGTAATGGAAGCGATTGAAAAATATAATTCAACTTAGGTATACATGACATTTTCAATACATTGACCTTTCCCCATAGGGATAAGTTGAGAAATGACCACCTATCCACATCCATAGAGATCTGTTTCATCAATGGATCCAGGTTTTTCTCCACTATTTCATCTACATTAGTAGGGAAAGTGATTCCTAAGTATTTAATGCCTTCTGTAGGCTACTGGAACTGTCCGGCCTGAAATAGTGTTTGGGGGCAGTTTGATGTAAGAGGAAACGCTTCGGACTTAGTCCAGTTTACTTTATACCCGGATAATCTAGAGAAGGCGTCAATAGTTCTCAGTAAGGCAGGAGTGGATAATTCAGGATTAGTGACAAAGCAGAGAATATCATCTGCATGTTATAATAGCCTGATCCAAGGATGGTGCCAGTTTTCCCGTTTTAAAACTTTCTTGAAACATGGCTAAAAGAACTGGAGCCAGTTCCGCAGAATAACATTAAAAAAATTCTGCAGTGAAGCCGTCTGGGCCAGGGGTTTTCGCAATTGGCAGTTGTTGAATTACTTTGAGAATTTCTTCTAAAGTTATCGGTGAATCGATCATTTCCCTTTGTTTTTCATTTAATCTGGGTAGGTCCAGGTCTTCAAAGAAATCTTGCAGGTCAACCTCCATTGGTGAACATTCTGAAGTATACAATTCCTTATAATACTGTCTGAACTGTTCATTAATTTCTGTGGGTTCAGTTACCAATTTATCCTTTGATTGTATTGCTGATATTATCGAATTCGATTGTTTCTGTTTTACATAGGCACTAAGTAGTTTACCAGCCTTCTCCCCAGATTTGAAATAGTTTTGCCTTGCTCTATGTAGCATAAATTCTGTCTATGATATAAAATATGATTCATGAGCAAATCTCACTTGGAAACATCAAAAAACATTAATTTCACAAACTTCAAAACATGCTCCACTGATCTCACTAACAAAAAACACATGAAGAATCTTGACAAATTGTATTATATTAAAATATTTGAATTGTATCTTTTCATTTGGTTTCCTTTTCCATATTAATAGTTTAGGTATTTCATAACACTTTGAAGCAACTCAAAGTTCTCATCATTCTAACATATGCAGAAGCCAGTACTTTTCCCTCGTTTTGGTTTTCTCTTGGTTGAAGCTACAAGCATTGGAGGACTCCATTACTCCCTGCTGTATATTACCACTTGCAGTCTGTATAATCCTGGTTCGTGTTTGTGCGTCTACCATCGACAATAAAACATGTCTTCTGTCTGAATTAAAGACACGATCCCAGACTTTGTCATCCTCTTCAATAGCTTCACACAAATACAAGCTTTAGCATTATCATATCGTCTCCAAAATATGGCCAAAGAAAATCCAGATTCAAGATTAACTTATTTTGTTCCGTAGGAAGTTTGTCTTGGACTCACCGCTGCTTCTTTGAAAATACACATGAGACACAAATAAAACACAATACAGTATCACAAGCATTAATCATGGCTCTGCTCGATGGCATAGATTCAGGAGGTTCACAGATATGGGTAGGAACGGGTTTTTATACTGGTTTAGATATATTTTCTCATTTCTAGTTGGTATTCTGTAGCTTCAGATCTCAATCTCGAAAGCACAAGGAAATCTGGCAACATGGTTTAAAAGTCTAGATTTTAGTAACATGTCACACCACAGAGCACTGCATGGTCCTGTCATACATTTTGGTGGATACTGCAGGACTTCATACTGTAATTGCCAGTATTTATTTGTTCGTCATTCTTCACGTCTACAGTCTGCATATGGCTCTGAAGATTCAATTATTTGGTTGTTCAGCTCCAGTGGCGTTCATGTGTCACTGTGCTGTGCTTACTGCTCATTTTGTGTAATCAAGAACTATGTCTCATTCAATTACTTTAATGAAAATGTTTGGAGCAGTGTCATGTTGTGGTGTGGTTTGTAAAGGGCTCAGGAGACTGTTTTCATTCTCACATTCACATAAGCATTGCACACTTTTAACACAAGCTCAGGCAGATTGTGGCTCCTAATAATAATGTAGCCTTCTTTGTGTTGCTATGAACTGGTATTTTATTGCGTGTTTACGGCGTGCTTTTACTGATCATTAAACGGTAAACTACGGTGCTCGATACCGTTTGGAGAGATGGCTGTGTTCATCGGTGTATGTGATAGAGAATCGTATTGCTATTATTCCTTTTCCCATGCAGGGAAACATAAACATTGAGCATTGACTTTACTGAATGACTTTGAGGTGTGCATCGTGACAAAGTAGTCAGCCACCTGCACGCTGCAAAAAAAAAAAAAAACCTTGGATACTCAAGGTCGTCTCTGAAAGAACTGCCGGTGATGAGGATATTTTTTTTATTATGAATATTATGTTTTAAAGATTCTGTTCATGCGCATCTGTTTTTAATTATTCTACTTGTTTGCGCCATTGACCAAAGCCAATTAGTTTGACTTCCTGTTACTTGCAATGGCAGTAAAATTACTCTGATCTGATGTACAAAGCAAAAGTGTGTGCATTTTTCATAAATAATACTGTTTGGCACTGCTTAGAGCTTTTTGAGCAGTCAAAGAGAGTTAGAATTTTGGTGGTTTAGTTATGATTGCTCACAAACATTATAATTCCATCCATCCATCCATTTTCTTCCCCTTAATCCATTTCTGGGTCAGGGGGTGGCAGTCAGAGCTGCACTCAGTACACTGATCCTCCTGCAGGTGGTGAGTCCACAGGAGCTGAGATCTTTCAGCAGGGGCCCAAGGACATGTTACGAGTCGGACAAAGAACCCAAGTGCAGAGGTAACAAAAAGTTTAATTTACAAAAATAGGTAGACTCAAAACACAGGAGAGCCGGGAATGGGGCTGGGACCAGGCGGTGCAGGGCTGGGTGCAGAGCTGGGGTCAGGCGGTGCTGGGCTGGGGTCAGGCGGTGCGGAACGGAGGTCTGAGGCAGAGCAAAACAAAGGTGAGACAAAAGTAACGAGAGCGATAACAAGCAGGCCTACTAACGCACAGTAACACTGATTACGAACTGGCACCGTGGAGCTGGCTTCTGGAGCTCTTGTAGTAGCTTGATTGGAGCCAGGAGGCAGCTGGGCCTGATCAGCCTCTCCCATCCACCTGCTCTGGGAGGCGGCTCCAGGAGAAGCAGGGGAGGGAGGGGCTGCTGGAGGAGCAGCCCTGACAGTACCCCTCCCCCTACAGACGCCCCCAGGCGGACACACACGCCTCCCCGGTCGACGAGCGTAGAAGTCCCGTATGAGGGACGGGTCCAGGATGTTGCCACGGGAGACCCAGCATCGCTCCTCGGGGCCGTAACCTTCCCAGTCCACCAGGAACTGGCAGCCACGACCACGCTGTCGAACATCCACGATCCGCCGAACAGTAAAGGCAGGATGGCCGTCCACCAACCTAGGCGGGGGTGGGGCTGGACGGGGGGGAACCAATGGACTAGACTGGACAGGCTTAACACGGGACACATGAAACGTGGGGTGAATCTTCAAGGAAGAGGGAAGCTTAAGACGTACCGCGGAGGGGTTGACGACCCGTTCCACCTCAAAGGGCCCGATAAAGCGGGTCGACAGCTTCGCAGATTCCACCTTGAGGGGAATGTCTCTCGTGGACAGCCACACCTTCTGTCCAGGCAAATAGGCAGGAGCCGGGATGCGGCGGCGATTAGCCTGTACTTGCGTCCGAGCAGAGGCGCGCAGCAAGGCAGAGCGGGCCTTCTTCCAAGTCTTTGGACATCTGCGAAGGTTATCCTGGACCGAGGGCACTGCCAACTCAGCCTCTTGGTCAGGAAACAGGGGCGGTTGATAGCCATAACAACATTCAAAAGGGGACATACCTAAAGAAGCGCTCGGGAGTTATGGGCATATTCCACCCAGGGAAGGTGAGAACTCCAGCTGGACGGATTAGAGGAGGACACACAACGTAGAGCCACCTCCATCTGCTGGTTAGCCCGCTCCGTCTGGCCATTAGTCTGGGGGTGATAGCCAGAGGAAAGGCTCACGTTAATATTCAGGGCAGAACAGAAGGCCTTCCAAACCTGAGCCGTGAACTGGGGGCCTCTGTCAGACACGATGTCGGCAGGAATGCCATGCAGCCGGAAGACGTGGTTCACCAACAGGTTTGCAGTCTCCTTAGCAGAAGGAAGTTTAGGAAGGGGTACAAAGTGAGCAACCTTTGAGAACCGGTCCACAACTGTCAGCACCACGGAATTACCATTAGAAGGCGGGAGGCCGGTAACAAAATCCAGCGCTATGTGAGACCAAGGGCGATTGGGGATGGGTAGAGGACGCAGCAACCCAGATGGGGGCTTGTTAGAACATTTATTCTGGGAGCACACGTTGCATGCAGCAATGAAGTCCTTAGTATCCCTCTCCATAGTAGGCCACCAGAACTTGCGCGTGAGCACAGCGAGGGTACGACTAACCCCAGGGTGGCATGTAAGGTCCCGTCCCCGGATCCGGGTGGGTCAGTTGCGCCTGACGCACTCTATCTCCCATGTAACTGTAGCCACTATACGGGACAAAGGCAGATCAGTGTCATTCTCAGGAGCAGGATGTGCACCGCAATAAACTCTGGACAAGGCATCTGGTTTCAAGTTCTTGGAGCCAGGGCGATAAGTGACAGAGAAGTTGAAACGGTCGAAAAAAAGGGCCCACCTGGCTTGCCTTGAGTTGAGACGCTTGGCTGTCTGGATATACGTGAGGTTCTTGTGATCCGACCAGACCACAAAGGGGTGAGTAGCCCCCTCCAGCCAGTGACGCCACTCCTCTAGGGCCAGCTTGATTGCCAGGAGCTCTGTTCCCAATGTCGTAGTTTCTCTCTGCAGAAGACAGTTTACGAGAGAAAAAAGCACATGGATGCAATTTCTGATCAGTGGGTGACCTTTGCGAGAGTATAGCCCCCACTCCTGTGTCAGAGGCGTCCACCTCTACTACAAACTGGAGTTCAGGATTGGGCTGAATAAGCACAGGGGCAGAGGTGAACCGGTCCCTAAGTTGCTTAAAAGCCAAGTCAGCCTCAGAAGTCCATGCGAAATTGGAAGAAGTGGAGGTAAGTGCAGTCAGGGGGGCCGCAATGTGGCTGAAATTGCGGATGAATCTCCTATAGAAATTAGCAAACCCCAAAAAACGCTGTACCTCCCTGCGACTGGTGGGGATAGGCCAATCACTGACAGCAGACAGCTTTTCAGGATCCATCTGCACCTGGCCCCGGGCAATAATCCTAAGAATGAGACAGAAGGTTCATGAAACTGACATTTCTCTGCCTTAACAAATAACTTGTTCTCCAGGAGTCTTTGGAGGACACTGCGGACATGGCGCCTGTGAGTCTCGATATCTCTAGAAAAAAATCAAGATGTCGTCAATGTAAACAAAAACATATCTCCCAATCATGTCACGTAGGACGTCATTTACCAGGTTTTGAAACACGGATGGGGCGTTAGTGAGACCAAACGGCATGACCAGGTATTCAAAATGGCCCAGGGGAGTATTAAAGGCAGTCTTCCACTCATCCCCCTCCCTGATGCGCACCAGGTGATAGGCATTGCGCAAGTCCAATTTAGAGAAAATCGTAGATCCACAGAGAGGGGTGAAGGCTGAACTAATCAAAGGGAGTGGGTACCTGTTCTTAACAATGATTTTATTGAGGCCCCGGTAATCAATGCAGGGCCTAAGAGACTTATCCTTTTTCTCAACAAAGAAAAATCCAGCACCCACCGGTGAGGACGAGGGCCTGATTATTCCCACTGCCAGGGATTCCTGAATGTACCTCTCCATAGACTCGTTCTCCGGGCGCGAGAGGTTGTACAGGCGGCTGCTCGGTAGAGGCGCCCCAGGAAGCAGGTCTATGGCGCAATCATAAGGCCGGTGAGGGGGGAGAGAAAGAGCCCGATCCTTGCTAAATACAGCACCAAGGTCGTGATACTCAGAGGGCACTGCCGACAGATCCGGAGGGTCTGGGAGCGGGGTGGATCGAAAACAAACTGGGGTCAAGGCTGACTGCAAGCAATAAGAATGACAGAATGGGCTCCATGAAATAATACTCTTAGCTGACCAGTCGACATGAGGATTGTGCAACCTTAACCATGGCAACCCCAAAACAAGAGGAGAGTGAGTACAATCAAAAACATGGAAGGAAATAGTCTCCTTGTGGTTACCTGAGAGATGAAGGAGGATTGGGAGAGTCTTCCTCGTGACTCTGGCGAGTAACTGCCCATTCAATCCCTTAGCCTCCAAAGGGGTGTCCAGAACTTCGGTCCCAATCCCCAGCTGGTGAACGACCTCACTGTCCAAAAAGCTCTCATCTGCCCCAGAGTCAATGAGCACAGGAAGCGTCAGGGTTTGATCAGGAAAAACAAGGGTGCCCTCAAAACTGGCTCTTAAGGGAGAGGTCCAACTAGTTTGGCTCAACAGTACGTCTCCCACTACTGTTGAGCCCGACCTTTTGGCCGTGCAGGACAAGATGCGATAAAGTGCCCAATCTGACCGCAATAGAGACAGCTCCGGGAGTTAATGCGGCGTTCTCTCTCCTCTGCACTGACGAGGGCTCGGCCAAGCTGCATGGGCTCTGGTCCCGGCGTGGCTGGAGGTGGAACAGGCGGTGTCGCTGGAAAAACAACTTGTGGAGAGTTGTAAGCACTCACATATTTCGTCCTAACCGCTCTCTCACGTCGCCGCTCCCTGAGCCGGTTGTCCACACGAATGGTCAAATCAATTAACTCATTGAGGCTCCCAGGAACGTCACGGGAAGCTATCTCGTCTTTGAGATTCTCCGACAGAGAATTAAGAAATGCTCCCAGAAGCGCCTCATCATTCCACCCCGATTCAGCTGCGAGTGTGCGAAATTCAATGGCCAATTCAGCTACACTGCGGTTCTCTTGACGCAGGGAAAATAGTCTCTTAGCCGCCTCCTTGCCACTAACAGGATGGTCAAAAATCTGCCTCATAGCAATAGTAAAATCGTAATAGGAATCACAAATTGGATCCTGTTTCTCCCAAACTGCGGAGGCCCAATTAAGAGCATGGCCTCGAAGGCATCCAATTAAGTATGAAATCCTGGCTCGATCATTAGCATAACTTAGCGGTTGTTGCTCAAAAATAAGGGAACACTGGGTCAAAAAAGACTTACATGACCCCAGGTTGCCGTGGTACGGTGCCGGTGGAGGAACAAAAACATCTCGGGTAGGAGGAGGCAGGACTAGCGATGGGGCAGCAGAAGGAGCAGAAATGTTATCAGTGGCCGTTGTGTTGATTACTTGAGTCCTCAGGCTTGCCAGGCTGATGGAAAACTCCTTCATGTGTTCCATGAGGGCCTTGAGCGTATTGTCATGTTGCTCCAACAGAGACATCTGGGCAGAAAGGTTGATGTGGTCTGCTGGGTTCATTCTTTGGCCAGTTCGTACTGTTACGAGTCGGACAAAGAACCCAAGTGCAGAGGTAACAAAAAGTTTAATTAACAAAAATAGGTAGACTCAAAACACAGGAGAGCCGGGAATGGGGCTGGGACCAGGCGGTGCAGGGCTGGGTGCAGAGCTGGGGTCAGGCGGTGCGGAACGGAGGTCTGAGGCAGAGCAAAACAAAGGTGAGACAAAAGTAACGAGAGCGATAACAAGCAGGCCTACTAACGCACAGTAACACTGATTACGAACTGGCACCGTGGAGCTGGCTTCTTCTTCTTCTTCGTGTGCAATTTCGGCAGGCTAGACGCCGCTAGGCGTATTGCTGCCTTCCACAGTCAGTCAGTGGAACTGCATCAAGGGAAAATCTTCACATGAAGATTAGTGGAAGAAATAAACTCCATCACAGCAGCAATGATCTCACGCCGATTTGTTTGTGGATTGAGCAGGGTCTTCAATGACACACTGTCAACCCCCGTTCCCAGCACAACTTTAAACATTTGGCATCGCTCCTGCTTGTAGCATACACACTCCATTAGTACATGACGAACAGTCTCTTCTTTCCCGCCGCACTCACAAAGTCCATTTGGTCTCTTTCCCATAAGAACAAGATCTGGGGCAAACCCACAGTGTCCCAGTCTGAGTCTTGTATATATTACTTGCTCCCTTCTGCTCTTTCCCCAGGTGATGTCTCCCCCCCTGACACTGCTCTGAACCAAATAAAAATGCCTCCCCCTTTCCTCTACATCCCACGCACTCTGCCATCTGCGCCCAATCTCCTGTCCTATCATTACACAGAGCTCGGTGTATCCCAACGTTGTTAAAACAGTAACATTCTCCAAATTCAAGGCTTTCTTCGCAATAGAGTCTGCACTTTCATTTCCAGCAACTCCCACATGAGCCGGCACCCACATGAAGGCTACTGAAATCCTATCGCCTCAGCTCTATACAGAGCCATAAGAATTTCCGAAATTATGTCCTGTCTTGCGTGGGACACTCCTGCTTGCAGCGCCATCAGAGCAGCTGCAGAGTCTGTACAGATTAACGCTTGCTGAGGACAAATCTTACCTACCCACTCCAACGCACCCAGAATCGCTATTGTTTCTGTGGTAAAAACTGACACCCCATCTGGGAGCCGATGTCCCCGACTTACACCAACCTCAGGAATGTGGACAGCAAAAGCTGCCTTCTTGCTGCCAGGGTCAACAGAACCATCTGTGTAAAACTGCATGGACCCACCCCAATTTTCATCAATAGTTTCCGTTACCACCCCGACTGGGTTACTTCTACCCTTCTGCTTGAACTTATCCCTCACAGCCCAATCTATCTCTGGATCTGGAAGCAACCATGGAGGGACACTCGGCCAGACAACCCTGGGAGACATGTCATTGCCCCAATTAGGAAACTCTCTTCTCACTTCTTTTACTAAACTCTCTCTTCTTCTTTTCTGAGCAGGCAGCCAGCTAGCCTCCAGCAACCCCTTCACAGGATTCCCTTGGTCTTGGCTCTGTACCCTCCCAATATACTGAAGGGCTAACTTCACACGTCTCAATTCAAGGGGCATCTCACCACACTCCACTAATAAGGCTGGGATAGATGTGGTCCTAAAAGCCCCACAGCACACCCGCAACGCTTTCGCCTGCACCACATCCAGCCTCGCTAAAATTGTCTTAGCCGCACTCCCATACGCCAAGCACCCATAGTCAATGCTTGATCGCACCATTGCCCTGTAGATCATCAGTTGAGTTCCCTTGTCTGCACCCCAACTACTACCCGCAAGGCACCGCAATATATTAATAATTTTCCCACATTTTGCAACAATCTTATCAACATGGGATCTCCAGGTCAACCTCTCGTCAAAGTGCACACCTAAAAATTTAAACACTTTGACCCTTTCAAGCACTCTGCCATACATACTCAGTCCCCAACTGGCCTACTTTACGCTTATTTCCAAATATAACATATTTACTTTTATCTACTGAAATTTTAAAACCCCACTTTCCTGCCCATTCAGTAACCCTATCCAGCGCGACTTGTAACTTCCTCATTATAAAACTAACATTTCGCCCTCTTTTCCACATTGCCCCATCATCTGCAAATAGAGATAGACCACACCTATCTCCAACATTAGAAAAAATATCATTGATCATTACATTAAAAAGTACAGGACTTATTACACTGCCTTGTGGCGTACCATTATCAATTCCCACTACCTCTGACAACTCATCTCCAACTCTAACCTGAATTTTGCGGTTATTCAAAAAGGCTTTAATCCAATTCAACATTCTCCCTCGAATCCCTGCATCATACAGTTTAATGATGAGCCCTTCTCTCCACAGCATGTCGTAAGCTTTCTCAATATCTAGAAATACAGCCACAACAGCCTCCTTGTTATCTATTGCTTTCCGAACATCTGACTCTAGCACCAGAACCGAGTCCATTGTGCTTCTTCCCAGCCTAAATCCATTTTGAATGTTTGTAAACCAACCCTCTTTCTCTAATTTATACACTAATCTGTCTGTTACCATTCTTTCCATAATCTTGCACAACACTGCTGTTAATGCAATTGGCCTATATGACCCCGGATTTTTGGCCTCTTTCCCTGGCTTTAGGATTGGTACCACCACAGCCTGTTTCCATGCTGAAGGCAATACCCCCTCTTCCCACACATTATTAATAAGTGCCAACACTTCATGCAATACCAAATCATCAACATGCTTAAAAACTTCGTACATCAGCCCATCCTTACCTGGTGCTGTTTTACCACCTCTACTTATTGCCTTCTGCAATTCATTGAGTGAAAAGTACAAATTACCTGGATCAGAGTTGTCATCGTTAACTTCCAGTTTATACTCTTGACTGTTCAGGGTTCCATTTCTCTCCCTAATCCCCTTCTCTCCTATATTATTGCCACAGTGGACCTCCTGGAACTTCTTTACAAGTAAACTTGCCTTCTGGATGTTGCTTAATGCTTCCACCCCTCCATCTTCAAGAACAGGAATAGCTCTACGCCTGCAGACACCTGCCATACGATGCACCGCTGACCAAACCTCCGCTGCTGATGTCTCCACTCCTAATCCACTACAATACTTCCTCCAACAATCCCTCTTGGCTACCTTTATTGTTCTACGTGCAACAGCCCTCAACTTTTTATATTCTATAGAGTTCTGTTCTGACGGAAACTTCTTAAATTGCTTATACGCCTTCTTCCTTGCCCTAATAGCATATGTACATGCCTTATTCCACCAGGGCACACTTACCCTATTCCTCCCTCCAGCCTTACAGGGTATACACTGACCCATATTATGCGCAATTTCGCTACACAAACTGTCATTCCACTCCTCCAAAGAGTCATCATTTACCTTATCTAAATCCTTATTACACCCCTGAGCAAACTCAGTCCACTTAGCTCGACTAAAATCTAAAGCTTTTGGCCTGACCAACGCATCTGTGACTAAAGACCTACCAAATCTCACTAATATAGGAAAGTGATCACTCCCTAATGAACAACTATCCAGACAGTCCCATTCCCCTAAAACAGCCAACTCACTCGAGGCCAGGGCCACGTCTATACATGAAACCCCTCCCGTTCTCACATCAAACCTTGTGGGCCTGCCATCATTCATACAAATTAGTCCATTCCTATCAATAAAATCCTCAACCTCCTCCCCATTATGGTCACGAGACCAGCTGCCCCACAACGGGTTATGGGCATTAAAATCTCCTACCCACACCAACGGTGTTCCTACCCCCTGAAATACTTCACCTAAAGTGTCAGAATTAAGGTGCAAACATGGATTATAAAAATTTACAACATTAATTTTCCCCTGTGTACCCCAAACCCTCACTGCCATACACTCCAACCGAGTGTTAAGTGATAGTCTCTGATATTGCACATTCTCCCGAATAAAGATTACACACCCCCCTCCAGCTTTATCAGCACGATCAAGCCGCTCACTCACATACCCAGGCACCACAAAATCCAGGCAAGGTTTTAACCATGACTCCTGAACGCAAATTAATTCTGGTTTGTGAATAAAATCTTCTAAGTACCTTTTAAGTTCCTGTCCATTTGCAATGAGGCTTCGCGCATTCCATTGCAATACGTAAAACATTTAACCTACTGAAGAGCTTTCTCCACTCTGACTGGCCCCTCCTCCTTGTGATCCTCTACGTGCGTGCGCAAGATTCAAATGCTCTGGGGACACTTCCGTACCCAAAAACCTACCTGCCTCTTTTGCAATCATTGCCTTTATACCAGATGGCGTGTCCACCTGTCTTGCTGCCCATAAGACTTCCACTAAAAAGGCAAAGAACGCCACCTTACGCACCACAAAACAATCATCCGAGACTTGACCACCTGACTGGTTTAAGCTTTCACTTTGAGCCTTCTGCCCCTCCTGGCCTGTCTCTTTGACTCTCCTGACAGCCTCAGCATAGGAGATATTCTCAGTCTTTTTAATTGTCTCCACTTCTTGGGCTTTGACATGTACCCCACATCCCCTGTACGCCGCCACATGGTTGCCCCCACAATTACAGCACTTCACTTCACTGTTTGTGCACTCTGAATAATCATGACCGCCACCGCACTTTCCACACCTTTTTTCCCCTCTACACACTGCAGCGACATGCCCAAATCTCTGACATTTATAGCAACGCAAAGGCGGACGCACATATGGTTTAACCTGAAATGCCATAAACCCAAGAGTAACTCTCTGCGGCATGACCTCTTCTCCAAACAAAATGAGCACAGCAGTGCTGTCCCTCTCTTCTCCCTGTCTCCTGGTTTTGAACCTCTTTACTCCCAAAACTTCCCCCCCTTTCAGGTTTTTAAAAATGTCATCTTCTGAGACATCTGTGTCAATATAAACGACCCCTTTCGCTCCCTGGTCAGAAAGTAGATTTGACCCTGGCACCAAGCCTTGTACAGCCCGTTTATCCAGCTCCTTTATCAGGAGTGCCTTCTTCCTCTGGGCTTCGGTTTTACA